TGTGTGGTGCTGACAATGGAAAAGAGGGCTTCATGCATGCTAGGCAAGTGCTCCACCACCAAGCCACACTCCCAGCCCCAAAACTTTTTAAAATTGAAGTATAACACACATAAAGAAAAATACTCAAGACATAAATGCAGAGTTCTCAACTAATCATTCCTAAGTAACCACTCATGTAATCAGTACTGAAATAAAAAATCAGAACATTTCCAGCATGCCAGAAAGTCTTTTGGGGCCTCCTACTCAGTCCCTCAAAAGTAATCAATATTCTGATTTATTTCACCATAGATTAGCTTTGTCTGTTTTAGAACTTTATACATGGAATCGTATAGCATGTATTTTTTTTGAGTCTGGTTTATTCTGCTCCACATAATGTTTGAGGGATTCATCCATATTATTATATGCAGTACAATGGGTCATTTCTTCTAGTTGAAGTGTAGTATTCCATTATGTGAATATACCACAATTTATCATTCTCCTGTTGATAGCATTTGGGTTGTTTCCAATTTGTGCTGTTACAAATGGTGGCTTTATGAATATTATTGTATTTTTTTAGTTAGCATATCCAGTCCTGTGTGACTTATGACAGGATTAAATTCTAAGAGAAGCCTGGTGCAATGGTGCATTCCTGTAATCCCAGACATTCAGGAGTCTAAGGCAGGAGGACCACAAGTTCAAGGCCAGCCTCAGCAACTTAGCAAGGCCCTAAGCAACTTAGTGAGACCCTGTCTCAAAATAAAAAATAAAAAGGGCTGGGGATGTAGCTCAGTGATTATATACCCCTAGGTTCAATCCCCAGTACCAAAACCAAAAACACAAAAACAAAACATAAGAAAATGTTTTATAAAGTTCTAAGAGATGCATTAGGCAATTCTGTCATTGGATAAACCAAGATGGCTATGATGTCACTGGGCAATTGTATATGTAGTCAGTTGTTGACAGCACATGACTGTACAAGCATTTCTGACAGGCCCATACCTAAAAGTAGAATTGTTAGGTTATGAACTGTGCATATGGTCCCCTTTAGTAAATACTGGTAAGCAGTTTTGAAAGTGGTGATATCAATTTATATTTTCATAAGCACTTTGTGAGAATTTTATTCATTCTATATTCTCACCAATATTTTATATTGTCTTTTTATTTATGACAATTCTAGTGGGTGTGGGGAGGGTTTGTTCATTTTGTTTTGTGTAGTGCTAGGGTTGAAACCAGGGCTTCACACGTGTCAAACAAGTGCTCTACCACTGAACTATACCACCAACTCCAATTTTAGACTACCAGTGAGGTTGAGCACATTTTCTTAAGTTGTATATTCTATTTTGTAAGGTCTCTGTTCAAGTGTTTTGACTGTTATTCTATTGGGTTATCAGTCTTTTCTTATTGATTGGTAAGAGTTCTTCAGTTATTCCAGATACGCATCTTTTATTGGATATATGTGCAAATATTTTCTCCCATTCTGTAACTTACCTTTTTATTCTCTTAATGCTACATTTTGAGGGACAAAAGTCTTAAATTTTAATGTAATTTAATGTGTTGATCCTTTCTTTTATGGTAGGTAACTCCTTCCTGTCTTGAGTCTTTTCTCACCCCATTTTATACAGATATTATCCTATGTCATATTCTTAAAAGCTTTATTGTCTTGCCTTTTATATTTTTCTCAATATTTAGCAAATTGATTTGGGGATGTTTGTGTGAGGCAGGGATCAAGATACATTTTATGGGCTGGGATTGTGGCTCAGCGGTAGAGTGTTCGCCTAGCATGTGTGCAGCCCTGGGTTCAATCCTCAGCACCACATAAAAATAAATAAATGAAGGTACTGTGTCCAACTACAACTAAAAATAAATATTTTTAAAAAGATACATTTTATGTGAATATCCAACTAATCTGAAAACACTTATTGAGAAGACTGACCTTGCCGATTCTAAAGAGCCAACTTCATCATAAATCAAGTGACTATATATTCTTAGTTCACTTACTGAACTCTATTGTCTTCCATTGGTCTATTTATTTATCCTTGCAGCAAAACTGCCCTATTGGTAGCTTCATAAGTCTTAGTAGCTGGTAGAGGAAACCTTCTCTTGTTTTCATATTCTTTGCCTTTTGCAATACTAAAGAAAAATTACAATTGGCTTATCAAATTACACATGCACATACACACAAATATGTTGGGATTTTCATTAGAATTTCAACAACTCTATTACTTTTGGAAGCTTGTATATCATTACAATTCTTGAACATAGCATATTGCTCCATTTATTTAAGTTGTCTTTAATTTTTCAATGATGTTTTATAATTTGCTGTATATAGGTCTTGCACATTTTTCATTAGTTTTATTACTAGATATTTGGTAGTTTTTGATGCTGATATAAATGATGTCTTCTTTTCTCAATTTTTCTCTTTATTACTGGTATACAGAAAATACTGGTTTCTTTTCTTTGTGGTGCTGGGGATCAAACCCAGGGCCCTGTGCATGCTAGACAAGTACTCTACCACAGATCTATACTCCCAGTCCTAAAGAACTAACTTTTTATATTGATCCATGTCTCACAACTCTGACAAATTTACTTATTATAAGTAAATTTTTATGTAACTTTTTGTATTTTCTATACACAAAAATCACATCATCTATAAATATTTGTATATTTATCTTTCCTTTCTAATCCTGTATCTTTTAATTGTCTTGCTTCAATGCACTGAGCAGGACCTCCAGCACAATTTGAACGAAAAGACTATAGTGGGCATCCTTGTTTTATTCCCAACTTAGAAAACATTCAACATTTTCCTGTTAGGTATGATATTTACTACAGCTTTAAAAGTAATTTCCCTTATGTTCTTAGCAAACTTATGTTTGCTAATTTTTTTTTGTCATGATGTGTTTCTTTGCTTTTTTTTTTGCATCTGTTCAAACAATCACATGATTTTTCTCCAATCCCTGGAGAGATTTGTGTAAAATTAGAAAATTAATGGTCTTTTTTTTTCTTTAAATGCTTTGTAGAATTTACTATTTATGGTATTTGGGCCTGGAGGATTTTTTGTAGAAAGCTTTTTAATTATAAATTCAACTTATTTAATAATTATTGGATTGCTCAGAGTCTATTTTTTTGTGAGTTATAGTGAACTGCATTTTTCCAGGAATTTTAAAATTGTATTGAAATTTTCAAATTTGCCAGTATAAAGTTCTTTCTAATACCATCTTATTAAATTGTAATGTCTCTGTGACCTGTACTGTAGTGCCCCCATTTGTTCCTGATACTTTTTTTAATGTGCCTTCTGTATTTCTTTTCTAAATAAGTCTCAGGATTTATCATTTTCTAGATTTTTAGAACCAACTTTTAGTTTTATCGATCCTTTCTGTTATTGTTCTAGTTTGTATTCATTGACCTCTGTCTTATCTCTATTATCGCCCTCCAAATAAAATTTGCTAATTTTTCTAATTTCTTGAGATGTATTTCCAGCCATTCTTTTAAAATAATATATAAATTTAAAGCTATAAGTTTCTCCCAAAACACAGACCTAGTGGCATCCCTCAGAATTTCAGATATTTTTTTTCAGAGACAGACAAGTGTTTATTTAAGAAAGCAGAGACACATTCAGGGGAAAAAAATGGGCTATCTTGAGAGTGAGAAGCCTTCAAATATATTATTTTCATTATTGGTTAATCCAAAATATTTTCTAATTTCCATTATGGAGTTTTCTTTTATCCAGGGGTTTTCTCCCTCTCCAAATCATGGTGCCAAACTTCAGTGGGCATAAAAAATTAACCATCTGAATGGCTTGTCAAAATATAAGATTTCAAGTCCCATTTCAAACCTACCAGATTAGTATTTCTATAAAGAGGGCCTGAGGATTCACATTTCATAAATCCTCTAGCAGATTGAGATGCAGGTGTTTGCCTTCCTGGCACACAGTTTGGTGGCAGAGACTGGGTTTTCTAAGGGCAGGGAGCAAGTTCATTTCACCCGAATCATCAGGGCCCAGCACTGCACCCATGTAAAACTGTGTTTAAGAACCGAATGAGCCAATATATGAAGGAAGAAAGGAAATAAATTTTTATACAAAGATAATTAGAATTCTGGAATGCTAAATTCAAGCAGCATCATTTGGCCCCAGTTTAATCCCATTTGGATCAGAAATAGTTTTTCCTTGTCTTCCCTTCCTTTTCTGGTCTGACCACCAGGCTTTCTCTTCACCTGTCCCATTATGCCTTCCCAGAACATGGCCTTAGTATGGGTTCATGCCTGTCTACTTGCCTAAGGAAAACAGGGGTAGCACAAGAGGTATCAGGGATTAATCAGAGCTGGGCTTCTCCCCGAACTCCCCCTCCCCCGCCACCCATCTCCTGGACCTGCCCATAGAACCCCACTCTAAATAAATTATTTATCCTACCTCTCAGAGACCTAAGCATACCTCCCAACCCAGAGATTTTGAAAAACTTCCACCGGACCTTTGTCCAGACCCCAGACGCTCCTATTCCCTGCCTCCTTTGCACCTGTAACCCATGTGAGTGGCTCTCTCAGCAGCTCCTTCGCCACCTCTACCTGCCTCCATGCATGCATCTCAGAAAGGCCTGAGCCTGACTTCCTCAGCCAGCTATTGTCCTGGCAGCACAACCGCCACGCCAGCATCCCCACCCACCCAGCCAGCCAGCCAGCCAGCCGGCTGTTCCCCGGCCTCACCAGCCCCCCCTCCCCGCCCCGCCCTAGGGAGGACCAGGCTGGTGGTTGGGAGTCTCCCTGCCTGCTCAGCCTCCCTCCTTCCCTCTCTCTCCCTCCCTCCTCCACCCGCCCCTGAGGCAGGGACCGTGCAAATCGAGGAGAGGGGGGACAGACAAGCCTGATGGGGTCTAGCTTAGGGCTTTGGACTCCCCACTGTTACCCTATCTAGGCTGGGTATCCCCAGCATCTTAGGAACTAGATTTGTGTTAGCTGGGGTGACTCCCAAGCCAGGAAGTTCCTTCCGGCAGGCCTGTAGTGCCCTCTTTTTACATTAGGACCCCCCTCGGATACTCTGAGCCACCCTTCTCAACCCGGATCTAAAACCCGGGACACAGCTATCAGGCCAGCCTCTCTCTCTCCACCCCACCCCCTCTTTCTGGCGTCCATCCCCTCCCCAACACCACCTCTGCTGCTGCCTCTGGCTGTGGACCTGCACCTCTTCCCCATCCCCGCCAGGCCCGGGGAGAGGGGTGAGCCTGGATGAGAGCCCCCCAACCTGGGGCTCTCTCAGGCCATGGCCCCTGTGCTCCCGGGGAGGAGCCCAAGACCCTGAGCATCTGCTAGAGGCTTGGCAGAGGCCCCGCGGGGACCAAGTCTTCTGAGGACAAAAGGCGGCGGCCAGCAGGCAGACGGGCGAGGGGGGGGGGGTACCGGCAGCCAGGCAAGTAGGCGGGTAGCAGGGGCCAGCGCTGCCCCCCCCCCTCCCAGCCTGGCTGTGGCATGAAGATGGGGGTGGGAGTGTGTAGTGGGGGAAGCACCTGCTGGGACCCCCACCTGCCAGCTTGTTGGGCACCCCATGGCTGTATGCTGCCCACCTGGTGTTCCCCAACACCCCCAGCCCTGCCCAGTGCACCCCTCCGGTGCCTGCTTCCCCTAATGCCTGCGATTTAGACCAGCCCAGCTGTATCCACGGCAACAGAAGCAGAAGTGTCACTGGCCGCCAGATCACTGAGGGTCCCACAATGTGGCCTGGGCTGTGATTTATCCTGGGCAAGACAGCTTGAGCCCTCTTCCTGGATGCCAAGACAGACCTGCTGAGAGAGTCCAGGTAAGCAGTCGGCATCTCTTTATCAAGGATGGGGGGCTGGGACTTCTTTTCTGTCTCCCCACACATTTCAGAATCTCCATCACTGCCATGCTCCTTGTCTCTCTCTCTCTGACTCTTTAGTCTCTCTCTTTCTGCTCCATCACAGGGACTACTCGAGCACCCAAGCTTGGAGACTCCTCATCTTTCTCCATCTTTCCCAGTCCCAAATGTCCCATGAGAAAGGGAACCACCACCTGTTTCCCCACATAGGGTCTGTTTTTATCATTATGGTGGTGTTTAGGCATGAGGCTGTGTTAATTCCTTGTGTACTAGCTATAGAGGGGATGCCTGGGAGCCCGGCTGTGTTCCCCTCACAACGCCTGCAGCTGCTTCCTCTCCCTCTCCCTCCTCCTTCACCCTCCTCCAGGTTCCTTGGCCTGTTTGCAGGATGTGTATGTGTGTCCATGTCCGTGTGAGTGTGTTTGTGTGTATGAGAGAGAGAGAGAGCACCTGTGTAGCAAGCAGGTGGGTACAAATGACAGGGAAGCTGCACCTAGCCCAGACCACCCCCTGCTCCTTTTTTGCCTTTCCTTCTTTCCTTCCCGTATTTCCCCACAGGTAGCACAGACTTTTGCTCATTCACTATGGAAAATATGTGATTCCTATATAGGGGGAGGAAGATGCTGTAGGGATAAAGGAAGGTGAGGTGGGGGTAGGGAGTACTTCCAGGCCCTAGACTGCCTGAAGGCTCTCAGGGGGCAAGGAGCAATCCACATGATGACCTGCAGTGACCAGGCACAACATGGTCATTCCCACATAGTGGGCCTCAGCCTCCATCATATGGCTCTGTCTCTGTTTCAGATACCCATGTTGTGTTTGGGACCTCCAGATCTTATGGCCTTCTGCATGGTGGCCAGAAGTCCCTATATATTGAGGGCAGGAAAACTGGTATATGGAGAACATGGATTCTACCAGGGACACATCCCTCAACTGCTAGCTCTGCAACTTTAGTAGAAGCATGCCACTTACTGAACCTCAGTTTTCCCATCTGTCAAAGATACTGGTAACCCTTCCTTCATGGTGTGTGAAGGGATTAAATGTGTTGGTGCATATAAATAAAGGATATGCATAGAGGTGGCACTGAAGCAATGTCAACCAAGCTCATGGTCAATATCATTGCTGATTGTTCATGATTAATATTGCTATTGATTATTTGGGGGAAGAGCTAATATTTGTCCAGGGTCCCAATAGAGATCTTGGGAAGGCAGCAGGTGGGCAAATGGAAGGATGGGAAGTGGGAGGAGGCAGGAGCTACCTATGTTGTTACTTATCATTTGTAGGGAATGGTAAGTGATAGCTGTAGGCAGAGCCTTCCATCCCCACCCTTTCCTGCACTTTCCCCTGTTTGTGTGCACAAATACACACACAGTCTTGAGCCCCCATGATCCAGCAAAGGCCTGGCTTGCAGCCTGCAGCATCCCTGGCCCTAGTGATGTATGCGTCTCCGTCTCCCTGTTGAGGGGAGACTTGGCAAGAGTTTGGCCTGTGGTCAATGTTTGGCAGGGCCTGGAGATGAGGCTGAAGCTTTTTTGAGATCGCAGGGCTTCTGGTAGAGCTGGGGTGTGGCCCATGCAGCAACCAGACCCATTGGGAATGGATCCCAGGGAGTTGCTCACCTAGAGCCTGGGGTGTGGGGGGAAGTGTGGTCTGCTGATTGGTTTCTGGGTGTGAGAACACTGAGCAAGAGGTCGGGGGCCAGGGAAGGAGCAAGAGGAGGAGAAAGACTGAGGCCCAGAAGATCTCCTCTGTGGGAGCAGGGAGATCTGGGGTTTTGAAGCATAGGGTAGACTTTTCTAAAAAAGCATTTGGTGTGGAAAGGAGAGAACCCAGCCTGTGTCTGGAGGCATCTGACCTGAGTGTGGGTGTATATGTGCAACTGAAAACATGTGGCTATGTATGTAGTCTGTGTGTATGTGCATGTCAGTTCGTGGGGACTGTGGGTGTATATGAGTCTCTGTGTGTGAGCAGGCCATGTGACAGCATGTGGGAGTGTGTGGGTGTCTGGGTCAGGCTTGTGTTTGTACAGGGGGCTGGGTATGACTTTGCATGTCTGTCTGGGTGAGGGAATGGGCATGTTTGATTCTGACCTGAGTGTGGGTGTGTTTCTCTGAGCCTATAGGCCTGTTGAATGTCTGGTTGTATGTTTGGTTATATGTGTATGAGTGTGTACATGTCTGGTTATATGTCTATGAGTATGTGGATTTCAGAATGCTTAAGTATGCATGTCCAATTAGGTGGATTCTTAGTTGTATGTACATTCATCTCTGCCCACAAGTCCCTTTGAGTGTGAGTACATCAAAATGGTGTGTTTGTGAGTGTAAAGAAATATATGTGTCTGGCCATGCATGTAGGAGAGGGTGTGTATATGTGTGAACATACTTGTGTGTCATGTGGGTGTGTCTGTAATGTATTTGTGTGAGTATGTCTATGTGTGAATGTCTATGTGGATTCTCTAGCATTTTTAATTTTGTGTATATCTTTGTGTACATGTTTGAGTGCACACTATCTATAGACAAACCTATGATTTCATATATAATTAGGAAATGTAAGCATAGATGGGCACACTAGTATAAAGAAAACTGATTTTGTGAGTATGGGATATTATATGAATAAAAATATACTTTGTGGGTATGCCTGTATATGCACAGTGGACTATGTATATGAGTATGGCTGTGGGGGGTATATACCAGTACATATTATACATATGCAAACACACAAGGCTGTGTGTGTAGATAAGTGGATGCATTTGTATATATGCCTAATTGTGTTTGTGTATACACCATGTGTGAGTACATATATAATTGTGATATGTATGAGTAACTACATTTCATAATACTTGGGCATTCGTGTCTCATGTGTTTTGTTTGAATTTCTGAGTATGAGTGTTATGTGAGTATATGTTTGAATATGCTTGTGAATGGTTGTGCATGTATATGTGGGTGTATATGCTAATATGTATGAACACATGACTGCATGCATTTGAGTGAACATATCCATATATATATATATATATATGCCTGTATGTTCATGCACATCTAGTTGTGTATGTGAATATGCCTGTGTGTGTGCCTGTCTGAATGTACATGTGTGTGAGTGTACCAGTTTGTACAGTTCTAATTATTTGTATTCGTGTGTTTATATATCTTTGTTCTGGAGCATATACTGCAGAACAATGTAAGTTAATGTATGTACATGCCACTATAAGAGTGTTTGAGTGTGTATGTATATATGAGGATGTCTTTGCAGGTGTGTTTCTATAGGTGTGGATAAATTATTCTTGTGTAGATGAATAGTTGTGTGTGCAAAAATATGTAAATATACTTCCATGTGTGCATGTGTGTAAACATACCTTTGTATCTAAGTCTGTCTGTGGGAATGTAGATACAAATGATTCTGCTCTCATTTGTATGGTCTTATTATGGGTGTGTGAATTTACATGGTGTGCATATCTGGCTATGATAGTGTAAGTATATTTTTTGTTTCAATATCTGTTTGCATATGGGAATGAATTAGTGTACAAGTTTATGTGCATATGAATATGCTCATAAGTATATATGCTCACACATAGACTTGTATGCAAGAATGGCTATATATGTATCAGCATCTCATTTATAATCATGCACATATCTGGATATTTATGTTGTGAGCACACCCACACAGGGGTGTGTGTGTGTGTGTGCATAAATACAATTATGTGGTCATCTGACAATGTGTATCTGATGTTTCTTTGTCATTTCCTTAGATGTGATACAGAGTTAGCTTGTCCATGGGCATGTGAAAGTATACCTGCATGTATACCTGTATTTTTGGATGAATATATATCATTCATGTACATAATGTTGCATGAATGTATGTCACATATATGCCTGTGTTTAAGAGTAAATGTGTGTGGGCTGGAGTTGTAGCTCAGTGGTAGAGCGCTTGTCTAGCACATGTGAGGCACTGGGTTCAATCCTGAGCACCACATAAAAATAAATAAAATAAAGGTGTCCATTTACAACCAAATTAAAAAAAAAGAATAAATGTGTGAGCTGGTACAGTGTGAGTATGCTTTGACGTGTGAGTATGTGTATGGAAGAGTGAAGTTATTTGTGCATGTGCCCATCTGATGGTGCATATGAAGGAAATTTGACTTGGTCCTATGTAGATAGGACTTATCACTGAGAAGGTGATAAAGAAGGTTCTTATGAATTTATGGGACTCCATGTGCACCTTAGCTTATGCTTATATGCAAGTCTGAGATCAGTGGTGCCCCAATAGACCAGATTTGTTTATAATTGTGAATTGGCAAGTTATGACACTTAAGCCATCCATGACCCCCACTTCTGGGTCTGAGGCTTTTCTTGCCTTGACCATATACTAGGTTTTGTGGGGGTCTCAGGACAAGTCCTCTTATTATTCACACCCCAAAAGTAGGAACCAATCATGACTGATATCCTACTGGGAGAAGGAGGCCTATGAACTCTTTAAAAAAGGATTCCTTGAAACACAAAGATCTCTCTTCCCATCCCTGCTCCATCAAAGGCTCATGGCAGAATGGCATAGTGTCTTGGGTTGGTAAATAGTTTTCATAGCACCCAAATTACACCATCCTGGCAGAAATCTAAATGTGAATGTATATATTTAAGTGAAGATATATCAGTAGAGTACGTGTGTGTGTGTGTGTGTGTGTATAGTGTGGGTTGTGTGTATGTAAGGGAGAGTGTTGCTGTTTGTGAGTAAGGTGTACATGTGAGATATTTAGGTGTATTTTGGAGGGAAGGGGTGGGTGTGGGTGTATGTAAATTGGCCTGTTTGAGTGGAGGATGGTGAATGAGAGTTTGGGTTTGGCTGGGTGGAATATGTGTGAGGATGTGTATATTTGAGGGGCATATGAGTATGGGTGTATCTGGATGGTGCAGGAGAGAATAAGGGGTTATCTGGATAGTGTGTGTATTTGATAGCATAGTTGTATCTGTTGT